GCTGCGGTTTAATCCGCAATTCTCCCTTCGGGCCCTATCAGAGTCCCCCTCTTGCTCCATAGGATCCTTCTCTTATCTGCCTGTTTCTGTCACTTCACGCCATTGCTGCCACCGTATCCGTGCTACTAGATGCTTTATGTTCCACACTATGCCTCAAGCATTTGATAATACGTATACACCAACCTCACTGCGCAAGCCCCTTAAGTCTGGATTCTCACTTGGCATGACAACCCAACTTGATGCTGCAGATTCCCTTATCGCTATGCAGCATGCGCACCGAGTAAATATCGTGGTAAAGCCTTTACTTCTTAGACCACGTCTATAAGTAAACTTATCTATTAGTAGGTAACTAGAATTGTTCATCACTTTTTCTTTAATTCTTCTATACCTAATGCCAAGTCTATGACTTCATCTTGCATGCCGACCCCCCAAATGGGATAATTATACTTTATTTAAATACGCTCACTATAGACGTCTCCTCTTGGTTTCCGATTGTTCCTCTCTGGTCTCCTTGTAATTATTTTTTACCGAGATTAAAAAATATTACTTTACTCTAGTAGTCTTCTTTTTGCTGATATTGTGGTTCCCTGATCTCCTCCGAGTTTGCTTAGGCAGTATACAAGGTTTTCACTAATCCTGCCCTCTTCAAATCTCCTGTTCATCCGATTTCTTTCAGTCAGGATATCGATGGCTTCTCGTACCTTGCGTTTTCTTGTATTTCCACCATATGCACCCAGCCCTTCTGTCGATTTCCCGTCCATGCGTTGTGTTTCGCTATTTTGGACCTTTGAGTGTCCATATTTCTGCAGAGTCTTTGTTGTTCCTTGATTCGTAGGCAAATTTTTCTTCCTGATTCACCAATATACCTCTGCTCACAATTGCTGCATTTGTTGCTCTAGAATTTCGAGCAATCCAGTTTGTCAACCTTCTCGTGTTGCGACGGCAGGTTTGTGAATAGTGTTGTATTTTCTTTGGGTATCACGTTGAAATTCAACCTTAGCAATGGTCGCAATTTATGGCTCAGTACACAGGAGGGCAAGCATATCCATTTTTGTCGCCCTTCGATTTCTGATCTTATTTTCATAAAATCCTAGTTGAAATTTGCTTTTTATGACACCCATATTTCTTTCTATAAATTCTCTGGAGTGCCCGTTACTAAGGTAAATCCGAGCCAGTTTCTTTAACTCCTCGTTCCAGAACTTATTTTCCGTTAGTCTTAAGCTTCTGATGATCATATTCCTCATTATTCCTATCTTTAGTTGAGATGAGATTGAAAATTGAGGATTATTTCCGCATGTGAATTCTTTCTGGAAAATCTCCTTTTGAGTAGTTCATTGGAGCAAATGACCTCAATATCCAGGAGGGTTTGTCGTTTATTCTCTTCCACCTCCATTGTGAATTTAATTTTTCATCAATTTGGTTTATTAAATGGAGGAATTCCATGCGACCAAAGTGCAAAGTAGTTGTCCTGGTATCGCATAAGCACTCTTGGTTGCAGTGGTGACTTCTAGAATTATTTCTCCAATCTGTCCATGTATACATTTGCCAAAAGAGGTGAAAGTGGAGATCCCATCGGTAGTCCAAGTATCTGCTGATAGATATTGCGGTTGAATGTAAAATATGTGGTACTTACTGTCAGGTTGATTAGTCGTGTTAACGACTCCTTCCGTATCCGCTCTGCTTGGAGGATATCCTTCTCTCGTTCCAAGACCTCCAGCAGGGCGGTGACTGCCTTCTCGCCTGAGATGTTTGCGTACATGAATTGCACGTAAAAATTTGCCAACATTTCCGTCCCTACCACTCCAATATTTTGGATCCTTTTAGAAAATTTATATGAATTCTTAACGCTATTTGTGAGTGTCATTTACTTTCTTAAGCCTTAAACAAATGAATTTCGCTAGCTTATGCATTGCTACATACTTGTTGTTGACTATTGGTTTTGGAGGATTTCCTTTCTTGTGTATCTTCGGTAGTCCGTAGGCTTTCCGTAGTCTTGCGTAATTTTTTGTCAAAGATTTCATTATCCATCTGTCGATTTTCCCAGTATTATTCATTTCCTTTAGTATATTCTTCAGTGTCCCGTTGATCGTCATTGTTTGATCCTTTCTTACTATTCGATAGGAGTTCTGGTCGCCTAGGCTACTTTCCATTTTCTCCATATACTCTTGCCTGTCCATTATCACCGTCGCACCTTCCTTATCCACCTGAAGAACTATTTGGTCATTTATTTGTAATTATATATATATATTCATCAATCCACTCCTTTTCATTGGTCCTTGATCGGGCATAATTCTCGGGATTAATTCAATTTCCAATACAGAACCACACTGTTTTATTATCCCATATCTAAGCAATTTCTTATCATGCCGCTTAGTTATAAAATCCCGACCCTTTGTGTCTTCTGATCAGTCATTTTCCTGAGTTTTTGAAAATCTTTTTAGGTGAGAACCCTGTCTAAATGCTTCCTGAATCTAAACTTGATATCTACGAGCTTAAATTGTTTGCGCCTCTCAGTCTCGAAACTCTCCTATAATTTCTGGATAGGCGTGATAAAGTATTTAATTTAACATCTCAGAATGACACTTTTCCATTAGGCTTTACGGTCAGACTCTGGAAATTATCATGCATACTATGGACTCCGGACAATGTGCGTTCCTCAAGGTCTTCGACCCAATATGACCAAGTTGCGAAAACAAGGTCAAGTATCGTCAATACAACGAAAGGAGTCCGATACCATACAAAAGGCCACATTATCCTGGTCTTCATATCTCCAATTATTCTAGAGTAAGTTTCATCTATAGATCAATGGGGCTCTAATTTCTGTCTTCGCTTTATCATAGACTAGCTATCAACCCCTCGATATTCTAGAGGGTCGATTATATTTAATTACTACACTACCTTATTTTCTGTTGACTACATGAGGTCCGATATTTCTTGATATTTT